CTTTTCTATACCCCAAATTTGCGTGTGAACCCAACAAAAAATATGTTATGTTTGGCAAGGAAACCCACATCCGTCTTAGACTTGGGATGATTAAGAACCATTCGAACAACTGACCCCAGCCTGTTCTTTGGAAATTTACAAAGCCTTGTGCATGGGTGCTATGGCAGGAAGTTGGACCGAACCAAGTTCCCAAAGTCCAATACCACAATCCGCTACGTGGATCGCAATGGGAAAATCAAATTCAAAGGGAGTCGCACACTCAAAGCAACCCAAGTCTATACCCCAGCCTTCGGCAGTGCAGTGCCTAAGCCGCTGTCAATGGGGGGTGGCATATAGAGATCATGAATACACGCTCCAAAGTGTCTCCCCAAAAGGTGACTATAGTCATGGGTAATCCATGGTAATCCTACATTCAACTTTGGGAATTCCATTGGAATTCCTTGGAATCAAAATAAGAATATTGTGCGTTTTGGGACACTATGGGATACTTATATAAGTATATGTCAGTGTTGTCCGAGGTGTATCGCAACTTCACCACCTATGCCAATTGTGCTCCGGAGCTTCGCCAAGACCTAGATTTCGAAGATGACTGGGAGGATGCTAAGTTGCTTGGGTTTAACATGCCCGTGGTTCAGAATTCACCTTTTTCTTACTGTAGTGGCCAGAGTTTAAGCTTCTTCTCATGAGGGAAACCTATTCAATGATTGTAGCCACTGAGCATTTGTGTGGTCTTAAATAGATAGTAATCATTCTAATCATTGTTCATGCAGCATCTTACCGAGAGGCACCATATATTCGAACCCCACGTCTGATCGCTGTAGCCCAGGCTGGATGAAGTCGAGGCATATCTTCATCAGATGCTTCGTCAGCGGAGCGAGGGATGAATCTATCCCATGAAACTTTTCACATGGAGGTCACTGCTTAAAATACATATGTCCCGCTGGATATGGTTCCACCACATGACCTCCAACTTGGAAATTCAGGGTGTTGCATTCCATGGACATCCGTCCCTAAGGATAAAAGCACGTGCACTTAATAAGTTTTTGGTACTGGGGAAGTATATGTGTATTGTCAGACTGATTCCATGGGATGTCTAGCAACACTGTGACTGCACTTATGGCAACCGCTGCAGAATCGAAACATAACATGCTATGCAGTGTCCACTTCTGGGGGTGCATCGGGAACCCGTCGGAAACCCGTCGGGAACTATGGGGTGGGTACCTCAAATCAATGGAGTTTGACGTACCGGCATCGGAAACCCGTCGGAAACCCGTCGGGAACTATGGGGTGGGTACCTCAAATCAATGGAGTTTGACGTACCGGCATCGGAAACCCGTCGGAAACCCATCGGAAACTTTTTGAAAATTTTCAGCGTCGGAAACCCGTCGGAAACCCGTCGGGAACTATGGGGTGGGTACCTCAAATCAATGGAGTTTGACGTACCGGCATCGGAAACCCGTCGGAAACTCATCGGAAGCTTTTCAGTGTACATAATAGCCATTTGGCTTTCACTCGAAACATCGCTTCTGGTTGGGACCATGTCTTCTGATCAGGCAGGGAAACCCAATTGGTTGACTTTGGTCTCAAGTACCCACAGTACCCACATGTTATCCATAACTTTTTGTTGTTGCACTTTGGGAGGCTATGGCTATATCTTTTACACCGACGAATGCGAGAGTCAAGTCAGACTTGTTCTCGAGATTCCCTGGTGCAATGCAGGCTAGATTGGGGTGAAACCTTTCAAACCATAGGACAAACATGCTGCAGGTTATAAAGGCTTAGGGATCCTATCAAGGTGCCGTGGTTATGCTGTCCCATGTTTGGATTCGAGGCCATCCGATCTACTCCAACGGCATCTCCCACGGAGACTCAGGCTCCGACCGAAGTTGCCACCCCGGCGACAGCTGAGGACCATGATTCTACATGAACCTGGGTTGGGAGTGGCTGCAAAACATGGTGGAAGTTTACTGAGCGGTGTTTTCAAATCTAGCCATATAGACCCCACAGAAATCTATATTTTTCAATGTTGCAGGATGGAGAGGACGAATTGCCAACCATACCGGCAGACCCAGAACGGCAACTTGAGTTCCAGCTTCTAGCATGCACATGGCTGTATAGTTACCTTATGTTACCTTTACTGTCCCCATGCCACCCTGACGTAGATAATATACCATGAATACGGATTGGACTTAGGCCTGTCACACCTCCTACGGTTTTGTCGAGGGCATCAACACTGGCCTCTGTGGAACTTGCGAAAGCCCCTAGTTCCTCTGTGCCCCCAGTTCCAAAGCCTTCAGTGAAACGTGAGTTGATGTTCGATGGGTTCCAAACACCTAAGAAAGCAAAAGCCCCAGTACCGACGACGAAGAAAGTAGTTTGTGCATTCATCAAGACGGAGACTTTGCCCACTGCTGCTAAGTCTGTGAATGCTCCTAAGATGGCACCGCCTGTGACTGTTTCAAAACCTGCTCCCCCGCCAAAGGGACCACAACCTGCACCTGGCTCACTGCCTGCCCCAGCCAACCCTGTGGTCCCATCGATGTCAGGCACAAAGGTTGAAGGTGTAGTTGCAGCACCGGTCGCAACTCCAGCAAGAGCAGCACCAAAGGCTCCAACCGAGACCCATGGTGAAACCCAGCACAAAGCAGCAGCCCTCCGGAGGATGAAACCCATTCCTACGACCCCACCGCCTGCCAACAAGTCAGTAGAAAATGAAGTCAACCGCCTTCTTGCCAACAAAGCAAGAGCTTTGACTGATGAGGAGATGGAGGAGATCCAACTGGAAAATGCAATTCTAGAGGAGTTAGCCACAAAAAGCGATGATGAGCTTGCCGCTATCATGGGAGAAATTCAATGCCATCCCTTTTTCCCCAAGTTTGCCCAGGCGCAACGCGAGGAAACTGGTCTGGATGATGAGTGGTCCTTTGATGTAGTTGAACAGATTCCCATGTGGGAGATTTGGATGTCAAAGCAAGAAGGAAAAGCATCGCCCCCCCTGTCAAGTGAAGCACCGCCACCCCAGACTGTGGAACCCAAAGCTTCTGGTCCTGGTGTCTTGCACATCACCCCACCGCCGCGAAAGCATGCCCCAGCGGAGCGCCCGGTTGCAACAAAGCAGATAGTGACACCCAAAGCTTTGCACATCACCCCGCCGCCAGCAAAGCAGCCCGCAGTGACACAGGTTGCAACAGCCTCAGCCCCTCCTGTGACACCAAAGCAGCCCGCAGCAGTGACACCCAAGCACCCCCCAGCAGTGATCCCAGTTGCAAAGACTTCAATGCAGCCCCCAGCAGCGATCCCGGTTGCAAAGACCTCGATGCAGCCCCCAGCAGCGATCCCGGTTGCAAAGACCTCGATGCAGCCCCCAGCAGTGATCCCGGCTGCAAAGGCCTCAATGCAGCCCCCAGCAGTGATCCCGGTTGCAAAGACTTCCGCAGCACCTCCTGTGGCAGCACCACCGCCCTCCCTTTCAGCTTTCACCATTGGTGTCAAAGCAGGATCTAGTGTGGCTTGTTTTAAGTTTCAAAAACGAAATGATAGCAGTGGTTGTGTTACTGGTCTTTTGTATCACGCTTGTAGTGGCTATCGCGTTCATGCCTAGGTGGCTCCAATAGTCCCGACTGACTATGATGAGCGACAGGCTATGCAGGCTGAGTTCAAGAGGCGAACCATTGAATGTACTTTACTGCACATGCACACACACACATTTCCAAATGAGATGATAAACCCTTATTTTTTCAATATGGGTTGACCATGCCCCAGGAAACTCAAAAATCCCGAAGCCAACGAGATCCCTGACTGCGTGGTTGATGCTTGGAAAAAGGCTTGTGAAGACAACACAAAGACTGCCAAGACCAAGTTGTTTAACACATGGTTGCAAGCTGGAAAAGACTTTTCAATGCTACTTGCCCAGCAACAATTTCATTTTTGTGTGCGTAATGTTAACCATGGGAATTTTTAACGATCTAGTTGCCCACATATAAGGTTGGAATTCAGCTTCACGCGGTCCCACACTGACCGCATCATTGGAGACAAGAAACACGGCTGGGTTCTGAGTTACGCTGAAAGGTCACAAGGGTCCTTGCCGCGGCTCTCATCGGCTCAGGCTGGAAAACCCGTGCCCAGCTGATGGTGCACTATGGCAATGACACCACCCTCGTGGACCAACTTATCGCTCGCAAAGAGCGGGAGGGGCTCGTGCAGAACCACCCGGAAATTGAGGGTGTGAAGATGTATTGGGTACTTTGGATTTGTTTTATGAGTATCACAGTCCCGTCCATTTCGGCCACAAAACCAAAAATTAGGCGGTATCCACACACCATTTTTGAAATATAAGATTGGGGTGCCTATATTCATGGCTATGACCATTGGACTTTGGGAACCATCCTATACTTCGATTAGCTGGGATCCATACACCGTCATTTTTGAAATATAAGCTTGGGGGTTAGAGAACCAGCCTATTCACTTAGGTACTTATCGAGCTGACCCAGTCAGAACAAGAAGAGACAAATGACACTATGGCCATGGCTGTGCATGCTAAGATGCATGCTGCAAGTCAGGCTCGCTTGAATTCTTATTGATGACGAAACAAATTCATGATTTAAGACCCAGTGTATTGTTTTCCACATATACCCCCATTTTTTTCCAGAAGCCAGACTACAGGGCGCGATGAGATTTGCAGACCCATCGGTCTTCGCTCCCCGGGTCTCTATCGGCGCTCCTCCCGTGCTGAAGAAAGAGGCCCCAATGCCAACTCCTGCCAGCGGCTCCGGGCAGAATGGGGGCGATACTGAGACGGTCCCACATGTGCCAAAGGAAACGACACCAAAAGCTCCCCCATTTCAGAAGCCGAAGAAGGCACAGAAGTGTTTTAAATTGAATTTAAAGAATCTTTATCATTGTGCTTTCAAAAATGTTGGTTGGCATCAGGATGTTTAACCCCAATTTTTGGTATATATGTCATGAATCGTATCATGATTACCTATCTAAGGCCCAAAGTGATGCCATGCCCAAATACTGATCCAGTGGCAGCGCTTGATTGGCTCTTCTCATCTTTGGAGAAGGATCTGAAGGAATCGAAGATGTGGCCGATCCGATTGATGCAGCACAAGCATCAAGACACACTGAGACACTTGAACACATGGAATTCCAATTGTTCGGTTCACCATTAGCTTTAGGGGGTTGGTGCTGATACCAATTCTATCCAAGGAAATCTTCTTGCAAAGCATTCGCAGCTCATTGAAGAGAAGTATTTTGTGCTCCAGCAGTGGAAGGTCCAGAAGGACTGCTAGTGATCAAAAAAGACATGAAAGTTTGTTAACTCAGTTAACTCCTACAGTCCAGGATAGACCCTCATGCTTACGCCAGGACGCTGGCCAATCCCTGGACTTGGCCGTGCTCACCGGGGTGATTGTGGATGTGGCCTCTATCCGTGATGCTTACTTAGGTGATGCTGCGGCCGCTGCAGGCCTTTGCAAGCCCAAAGGTGGCAAAAAGAGGAAGTCAGCTGATGAGGCCCCACAACATGACTGTTTGAAATCATGCGCATTCATATAATTAATTAATAGATGTTTGGCATGCAAGCCATTGACGACTTCATCCATCTACCTATTCTGCCTTTCCCATTCTTTCCCCTCTTCGCGACCGTGAGTCGTTGTCCTCGTCTGCAGGCAGAGGACGCTGGTGAGCCTTAGGCCAAGGCGATGGACAACTTTTCTGAACTCTGGGAAGTGTAGCTGCCTAGTTGTGCCAACATGCGCCCAATGCTAGTGCAGTCTACAGGGGTGTGGTTGCAAAGGCAAAGACCACTGGATATAGCTGTAGACTATAGATTATCAACAATATTGTTACCACTCTCATTTTTTTGGTAATGGTCAGGATGATGGCTATTGGTGAACTGGTGGAGCCTTGCAGCACTTTTGCTGACCATGTGTTAACTCGACACGTGCCATGAAATCTTTGAGCAAAGATGGATTCGCTTTAGGCTGAAGAGAAAAAAGAAACATAGTCCCATGACGCCTTGACCCAGCATGTGCAGGGAAAAAACAACATGCATAGATTCTTTGGGGCAGGACGCTATCCCCTGGACTTCTTAAACAATGAGGGAGAGCAGGCAGTGGTTAAGGGTTATCTTATGCTTTTAAAGCCACACCCAGTCCACAAAAAAATGGTATAAACTATGTGTGGTGATTTGTATACTTTTAGAAGCCCTACCAAGCCCGCAATTATTTGTGGTAGTTTGGTGCCCGTTCCCCTGCCAAGCTTGGGGGGCCCTGCAGGACACAAGCCAAGACCATCGCTCGAAGAGACCTCGGCTCACTCCATTTATTTCCCCTCATGTGCTGGAAGCTACCAAAGAGTATGACTGCAGGAAACCAGTGACACCTACTCCTCTGGGGGAATTGCTGCTTGAGAACTACGCTAGTGGCAAAAATGCTGCTACAACCGTTCCCAGGTGAAATCTGTTTGATATCTTTTGGTGTTATTGCTCCCAAGTCTTTATTATGGCCCCAAGTTCAAATGAGATATAGCCATAGCCATAGCCAGAGATGCTCCACACTAAGGCTCAAGAAACTGCACATTCAGCTGTTACTTGGTGCAAATCACTTGGTGGAAAGCTTCCTCCCACTGACTTGGTTGGGAGGATTGGACGTACTGGATGCCATGGCCGCCACAAAGGCAACATAGAACGAGATTGCCAAACAGTCATCAATACCTTTGGAAAAAGATTTGGAGCTACGATATCTACTGCCCCTATTCGAATGTGGAACCCTAAGAAGTCACGCATTGAGGTCAAAAATCTACCGCTCATTTTCCCAGATGACTTTGCGTCAGCTTTGTGGGCCCGCTCCCCTCAACTTTTCCGGAAGATGCTTCTGGGGGATGGGAATGTGCGTGAGTATTGGGAACATTGCAGGAATTTTTGCGACTGGTTCAGGTCACACCCATCCTACAATCACCCGAACAACTGGGACAATATGGTTCCTATGTCACTTTACGGTGATGATGTGCAAACATTTCGAAATTCTGAATGTGGGGCGATGTCAATCGTGGCATGGTCTAGCGACCTTTCAACAGGGAACTCGTTCAAATCACGGTATTTTTTGATCACGGCATTTTCTGAGTACGAGGAGTGCGCTTACACTTTCAATGACTTGATGTCTGAGATTTCGAAACGGATCATAATGATGGTCACTCCAAAGATGGCACGAGAAAAACAGTACCCATGGCTGAAAGGTGACTACAGCTTCATGTTGTCAAGCTTACAAGGGGACCTGAAATGGGTGAACCACACCTACGGCAACCTGTTTGATTACCGCAGCAATGACTTTTGTGGCTATTGCATGTGCAAAAAACGTCATGACGTGATTGGGATGACCTTGGGTGATTTCACAGCTTCTGCCTTGCATGCGTCTACTACCAGAGTGTATAGACACGAGGATCTTGTCAATCGTTCTCCAGCTTGATTTAGTCAAAGCACTTTTGGTTCTGCGCGCTTTAGCTTCAGATTTGTAAGTGGCAACCATCATCCTATATGCTGAACATATGTACGTATATATGTTTGCGATTTTTAAAGGGTTCGAGCTCACTGCAGGTTCCGCAGTCTACACAATTCCAGGGGCACACCCCAAGAGGATACTGCATGATATGGCGCATAGCCAATATCTTGGAACTGGAAAGACATTGAACGGTGGCGCGCTGGTTGTGCTATGTGAAACCGGCCTGTGGGGAAACATGCAGGGGCCAGGCAAGTATGATGAAAAACTTCAAGTTGCCTTGCAAGAGGCGCACGCTGATTTTCTTGCATGGAAGAAGCAAAATAAAATTGCTTGTACCCAACCTCGTTTCACACTAGCTAGGGTGAATAGACGACATCGCCAAATGTGGCCGGTTCTGAATTCCAAAGCAATTGCTGGAAAAACAATTTCTTTTTTCCTCACAGAACGTGCTGTTGCTTGGGCAAACAGACCTAATGCAACGCTGTTGGAGAAAACGCTGGCAACATGCCTCTGGAGCTATGCCCGGATGGTAAGCGTCATGGATTCTGCCAAAAACATTTTTACGGAGGCAGAAGCAGAGCAATTTCAGGAACATTGTTTTGTGCATTTGCAAGCATATGCAAATTTGAATGTACAGGGCTTTAAGGCCAAAGGAAAAGAACCAGGAAGAAATTGTTTTGTGTTGCTACCAAAGCACCACTTTTTGTATCACGCAGGGGTTGACGCGAAGGAAACGCGATTAAACCCAAAACATTTTATGTTGCTCAGTGCAGAAAGCTTTGTTGGCTACGTTGGGCGTATTGGACGCCGCGCGCATCGTTCTTCGCTAACGTTGCGCACAATTCAAAAGTATTTGGCACTCATGCACTTGCATGTGCAAAGGTTGGAGAGGGGTGAGCAGAGTTAAATGGTTTAAGCAAGTTTAAGAACATCTCCCCGAAGTTGACAGGGTTAACAACATTCCCCACAAAAAGTTTAGAATCATCTGCTAACCCATTTTGCCAACCCTTCGCTTGGCTCTGAGACTGTGGCCGTGTTAGCCCGTGTTGGCTGCTCATAGCCCACCAACGCGGCCGTGTGGAAAAAACAAAGGTTGGTGTGCATTCTTGGGTTTTCTGAATGAACCTTCCCTTCATATGCTAGTTACCATCCCATATGTAACCACCAAAGAACATTAGGGAAAATGACCCTGGTTACTTATCCCAATTGCTAAGTTCTGGTTGTTAACTTGAATTTGGTGATGATCATCCATTTCAACATGTTTGAGCCTCTCCTATGGCTGCCTCTGGACCTGGTATGGGCCCTTGGGCCCTCGGCAACTTCACCTCGAGGTACCGAAGGGATTTGAGGGCCCCAATGGAGTTGGGATGGTTTGGGGTTAATAAATTTCAGTAAGTAACCAAGTTGCTAAGGTGTATTTGGGGCGACCGTCCGCTGCACTCAAAGCGAAGTGAGTGAAAGGGGTATCACAGCCTGTTTCTTAGAGATGAAAGTTATGAGATTCAGATGTGAGGAACCTTCCTCTGATCTTTTTGCTTGCTCAGGACCTTTCGAACCAAATCAGGCATTGGGATGTCTACACCAAAGCCATTCACGAAGCCGGTAAAGAGCCTGGCCAGTTTCTGAATCCGTTGGCAGCGGGGTGGCTCAGTGGTGCACCAAGCATGCTTTGAACTTCAACAATTTCATGCCACACATGGAGCCTTCATGGTGCCAGGTCTCCCCAAGCATTGGACAGATCCAAGAACAGGGCAGGTTTGCAAGTCTGAATTGGACCGGTTGTTTCCGAAGGCCGGCATGAATTCCATGCGGACATAAGGCTTGGGAGCTGTTATTTTCTTGAAAGGCTGGCCCTAGTTCTACGAAGTGTATCAGCCTCTTCTCTGGCGTGGCCGGGCTCGAACTCGGATTACGTCAGCTCTCCTGGCATGTTGCTGCTCCGTTTCCCAGTGCCAGAAATTGAGCAATGATTGTTTGCGGCTGATGCGTTCAAGTCATTCTTGGGATGTGTGTGTGTGTGGAACATCTGAAAAGATGTAAAACTTCTAACTTGCTTGCTGAGTTTGCAATGATCGTTTTTTCATCATTGATGCCGGTAGCCTTTTGGTTTTTCACTTGACTTTCAAATAGGGGTTCACGTCATTTCTAGCAGGGGGTGGATGCATGGTCTGGCAGTCATCCACCAACGAAGACACTGCCTTTCCATGGTGATATGACGAAGGGACGCCTTTGTCACGTACCTGCTTCATTTTCGGAAATGGGATGTGGCCAACCCAAGAACCACCAAGCCGTTTCCAAACAATATGTTTTTATTTTCCTCGTTTGCACGGTTTTCGTAATCTGAACTACTGCCGATTTCGTCAGACCGAACAGTTGCATTTAGCAAGGACGTAGAAAGAATTCCCCTACACTGTCTCTCGCGCCTAGTCATTCACTACTTCCCGTCAGGTTTAACTGAGGTGTTTTTTGCACGCACGATGCTTTCCACATCAATAATTCGATAAGCTATTTCTGAGCAAGTGTGTACTTCATACCGGTTTCGTCAAGGTGGTATGAACCCTTCGGGGAAAGCCTTTCCAGGCTAAAGTTTGACTCGTAAAACGATCTCTGAATTTACACTTTTGAATATTTTTGAATTAGTAATTCGTCTAAGTAATGTGAAACAGTCGTTCACTTTTCAGCTTTTCACCCTGTCGAAGTCGTTGTGTTGAACAACTGGCCGCGTTTTGGGCGTCACCTTTTCTGCTCCTCATCTGGTCGGATGCTACTGGTTGAACAACTGGCCGCAGTACCGGGCTTCAATTTCTTTTGTCAGCTGCAGAAACCTCCTTTTCCAACGTTGATCGAGAGCATGACAGACACGTGCAACATGAGGATTCCAGGCACAGGCCATGCGTGCAGGTATGGTGACTCTTCTTTTTTGGCCGTTGGTGAGGTTCAATTGTGCACGTAATTCAAGGGTTGACGACGTAAGCCGTTTACAGGGTTGTGACATGAAAGCCGAGGGCCTTTGAGCGTTATCACGAAAAATGCACATAATGTGGATGTATCTTATTTTTTCAACTAGTTCCCCATTGGTCCCCTATCTCATGCGCGCTTTCCTCTCTAGGTCAGGTTTGGGTCCTTCGCGTTCCATCGCGTTCCTAGGTAGGCTTTGGCTCTCGCCTTGTAGGTTGTGTCAGGCGCTTCTGTCCGCCCCCCCTCCTCTGGTTGGTTTTTTGGCCCGTCGTCCGTCCGCTTTTTCTTTTTCCTTGCCCTTTCAGGGTTTGCCCGTTTCGGGCCAGGTGTGTTGGTGTTGGTGTTCTCTCTTTCTCCTTTTCCTTTTTGCGTTCCCCCTCTTGTGTTCCGGTTAAGTAATTGTCCTCTCATTTTCATCGTCATCTCATTTTCATCTTTCCTTCATCTTCACCTTCATCTCATTCGTCGGGGCCTTAAAAAGCCTCGCGGCAGCGGGGCGTGTGTGTGGAACATCTGAAAAGATGTAAAACTTCTAACTTGCTTGCTGAGTTTGCAATGATCGTTTTTTCATCATTGATGCCGGTAGCCTTTTGGTTTTTCACTTGACTTTCAATAGGGGTCACGTCATTTCTAGCAGGGGGGTAGGATGACATGGTATGGCAGTCATCCACCAAGAAGACACCTGCCTTTTCCATGGTGATATGAACGAAGGGACGCTTGTCACGTTACCTGATTCATTTCGGAAATGGATTGTGGCCACCCAAAGGAACCACCAACGCCCGTTCCAAACCAATAGTTATTATTTTCCTCGTTGCACGGTTTTCGTATCTGATTTGAACGTACTGCCGACTTCGTCAGACGGAAGAGTTGCATTAGCAAGGGGACCGTAGAAAGAATTTGCTAAAGAAAGAAATTCCTACACTGTCTCTCGCGCTAGTCATTCACTACTTCCTGGTTCAGTTTAAATGGAGGTGTTTTTGCACGTACCGATTTTGCATTTCCACATAAATAATTCGAATAAGCTTATTTCTGAGCAAGTGTGTACTTAATAACCGGTTTCGTTCAAGGTGGTATATATTGAACCCTTCGGGGAACAAGCCTTTCAAGCTAAAGTTTGACTCGTAAAACGATATCTGGAATTTACACTTCCGTGAAGTGGTAATTCGTCTAAGGATGTGGAAACAGTCGTTCACTTTTCAGCTTTTCACCCTGTCGAATCGTTGAACAAACTGGCCGCGTTTGGGCGTCACCTTTCTGCTCCTCATTCTGGTCGGAAAATGCTACTGGGTGAAAACTTGCCGCGTACGGGCTTTCAATTTCTTTGTAAGCTGCCCAGAAACCTCCTTTTCAACGTTTGATCGAGAGCGTTGACAGGACACGTGACAACATGAGGATTACAGCCAGGGCCATGAGTGCAGGTATGGATGATATTCTTTTTATGGTCGTTGGTGAGGTTCAATTGTGCACGTAATTCAGGGGTTGACGACGTAAGCCGTTTACAGGGTTGTGAAATGAAAGCCGAGGGCCTTTGAGCCTTATCACGAAAAATGCACGTAATGTGGATGCATCTTATTTCATCAACTAGTTCCCCATTGGTCCCCTATCTCATGCGCGCTTTCCTCTCTAGGTCAGGTTTGGGTCCTTCGCGTTCCATCGCGTTCCTAGGTAGGCTTTGGTTCTCGCCTTGTAGTTTGTGTCAGGCGCTTCTGTCCGCCCCCCCCCTCCTCTGGTTGGTTTTTTGGCCCGTCGTCCGTCCGCTTTTTCTTTTTCCGTTCCCCCTCTTGTGTTCCGGTTAAGTAATTGTTCTCTCATTTTCATCGTCATCTCATTTTCATCTTTCCTTCATCTTCACCTTCATCTCATTCGTCGGGGCCTTAAAAAGCCTCGCGGCAGCGGGGCGTGTGTGTGGAACATCTGAAAAGATGTAAAACTTCTAACTTGCTTGCTGAGTTTGCAATGATCGTTTTTCATCATTGATGCCGGTAGCCTTTTGGTTTTTCACTTGACTTTCAAATAGGGGTTCACGTCATTTCTAGCAGGGGGTGGATGCATGGTCTGGCAGTCATCCACCAACGAAGACACTGCCTTTCCATGGTGATATGACGAAGGGACGCCTTTGTCACGTACCTGCTTCATTTTCGGAAATGGGATGTGGCCAACCCAAGAACGACCAAGCCGTTTCCAAACAATATGTTTTTATTTTCCTTGTTTGCACGGTTTTCGTAATCTGATGAACTACTGCCGACTTCGTCAGATGGAACAGTTGCATGTAGCAAGGACGTAGAAAGATTTCCTCTACACTGTCTCTCGCGCCTAGTCATTCACTACTTCCTGTCAGGTTTAACTGAGGTGTTTTTGCACGTACGATGCATTCCACATCAATAATTCGATAAGCTATTTCTGAGCAAGTGTGTACTTCATACCGGTTTCGTCAAGGTGGTATGAACCCTTCGGGGAAAGCCTTTCCAGGCTAAAGTTTGACTCGTAAAACGATCTCTGAATTTACACTTTTGAATTAGTAATTCGTCTAAGTAATGTGAAACAGTCGTTCACTTTTCAGCTTTTCACCCTGTCGAAGTCGTTGAACAACTGGCCGCGTTTTGGGCGTCACCTTTTCTGCTCCTCATCTGGTCGGATGCTACTGGTTGAACAACTGGCCGCAGTACCGGGCTTCAATTTCTTTTGTCAGCTGCAGAAACCTCCTTTTCCAACGTTGATCGAGAGCGTGACAGACACGTGCAACATGAGGATTCCAGGCACAGGCCATGCGTGCAGGTATGGTGACTCTTCTTTTTTGGTCGTTGGTGAGGTTCAATTGTGCACGTAATTCAAGGGTTGACGACGTAAGCCGTTTACAGGGTTGTGACATGAAAGCCGAGGGCCTTTGAGCCTTATCACGAAAAATGCACGTAATGTGGATGTATCTTATTTTTTCAACTAGTTCCCCATTGGTCCCCTATCTCATGCGCGCTTTCCTCTCTAGGTCAGGTTTGGGTCCTTCGCGTTCCATCGCGTTCCTAGGTAGGCTTTGGTTCTCGCCTTGTAGTTTGTGTCAGGCGCTTCTGTCCGCCCCCCCCCCTCCTCTGGTTGGTTTTTTGGCCCGTCGTCCGTCCGCTTTTTCTTTTTCCGTTCCCCCTCTTGTGTTCCGGTTAAGTAATTGTTCTCTCATTTTCATCGTCATCTCATTTTCATCTTTCCTTCATCTTCACCTTCATCTCATTCGTCGGGGCCTTAAAAAGCCTCGCGGCAGCGGGGCGTGTGTTGTGGAAACCTCTGAAAAGATGTAAAACTTCTCACTGCTGCTTGAGTTTGCAATGATCGTTTTTCATCATTGATGCCGGTAGCCTTTTGGTTTTTCACTTGACTTTCAAATAGGGGTTCACGTCATTTCTAGCAGGGGGTGGATGCATGGTCTGGCAGTCATCCACCAACGAAGACACTGCCTTTCCATGGTGATATGACGAAGGGACGCCTTTGTCACGTACCTGCTTCATTTTCGGAAATGGGATGTGGCCAACCCAAGAACGACCAAGCCGTTTCCAAACAATCTGTTTTTATTTTCCTCGTTTGCACGGTTTTCGTAATCTGAACTACTGCCGACTTCGTCAGATGGAACAGTTGCATGTAGCAAGGACGTAGAAAGAATTCCTCTACACTATCTCTCGCGCCTAGTCATTCACTACTTCCTGTCAGGTTTAACTGAGGTGTTTTTTGCACGTACGATGCATTCCACATCAATAATTCGATAAGCTATTTCTGAGCAAGTGTGTGTGCGGTCATGCTGGCAAGCTTTTCACATCAATGTGAGACAAGGAGACAACTAATTCCTAACTTCAAACTTTCATGCTTATCTATTCAATGAAACAATGTATGCGGTCTAGCGACTTAGTTATCCAAGCTATGCCTACTTTCAAGCTCAGTCAGGTTTCACTTTTTTCATTCAACACAACAACATTGCCTCCCGTTCATTTCGCGATGGCTTCGAGTGGCAGCGAGTGGCAAACTGTTCGAACGGTTGGTGTGAACCAATTGAGGCACAGAAGGAACTGGTGGCAGTTTTAGATTCAATAGTTTTTCCATTTCATGTTTAGTTTTGAATTTAATCAGAGCCCTTTTTCCCGTTTTTCAACTTTTGTCACCAGGGTCCTCCGTGGAACACCTGTCATTTGCAATTGGCAAAGCCAACTGTTCCATCCTCAGGCTTACAAAGCCAGGGTTCACAGGCCAGTTGCAATTCAACCAGCCAGTTAGTGTTGGAGTTATTGTTGAATCAAGTGCAAGATCCAAGGTGGGTCTGGGACAACAAGAAATGGGTTGTTTGCTCTCAGCAGAACTTTCAAGGGATGACCACGATCAAGCGGGAGCACGACAAGCAGCAGGTCAGTCAAAGTTTTTGATGCATGCTGCGACTTGAGTTTCTTAATTCTTTTGGAGCCTTACTCCCAGCACGTATTTTTGCATCAGAGTTGAGCGCTGTTCCACACTCAGGTGGAAACGCTGCCCAGTAGTCATCGAAATGAGATCGCAGGGCAGCCAGCCATCACAGCAGGAGAGATCCAGGAACCTCCCGCAAAGCGAGCGCGCGGCAGTTGAAAATTGTTTGACAGCTGGATAGCAAGCATTGATTTGCAGTCAGTTTAGTTTCCTTTACACTATGACAAAAACCTTACCCATGCATGCCATTTATCTTTTTGCCAGTTGGCTGACTCCGGTTCAGATGGCTGGGCCCTCAACCTTTTTCTGGAGCATGTGCTCACAGAATGCCGTCCAGCATGTCCTTTTAGGTTGAACGGGACCCTTTCTGTGTCCGAATCTTGAAAGCTCGGATGCAAGAGGGGCTGTTGCCTCGCTGTGAGATCGTCCCTGAAGTTTGCACCTACAATCCCTTTGGTCGCGGCCTTGATGCAGAGATCTTGACTGGAGGGTTTCCCTGCCAGGCCAGGTTCATATGCTATTTGCCAAAAAATATTCAACTGAAGCATTTTTTGTGGCCAGGGCGTGAGCTCTGCAGGGCTACAGAAAGGATTGGCCGACCAAAGATCCAAGCTAGTCAATCAACCTTTCCGGGTCTTTGATGAGATGCCTTTTGGGCCAGAGACCAAGTTATCTTCGGAATGGCAATCATATCATGTGCTAGTTTTTTTTACCACCTATTAGGAAAGCCATTCTCCTCGAGAATGTGTATGCTCTGCTATCAAAAAAACCGGAGTGCCGAAAGCTTCTGGCTTTCATCATCAAGGCCGAAATTTTCAGAGTCATGTGTCATGTGTGCTTCTAGCTGGACGGTAGTTTGTTATAGACTGACAGAACCTGCCAGTTTAAATCAATCAGATTTTTTAACCAATGCAGGAATGCAGAAACCGACGCCTATCTATGACTTGGGCATCGCTGTCTCTCGCGAATTGCGGATTAGCAGCGTTTGCCTCAGAGTCAACAGTGATTGATCACTTTAATTGGTTTTGAGATTACCTGCCAATCTTCCAGTGTGTCAAGCAGAGTCAAGCAGTGAGGCCGGCAGGAGAAGAGTGTTTCTGCTGTGCGCACGGGAGAATTTCCAGATTCCGGACAGCTGTTCGATTCAAGTTTGCATGTAGTTGGAGCGTTCTTTCAACACGCCACTTACGGTCGAATTTGGTTTCGTTTTTTTTTCATGGCTTCATTCACACAATTTGTGGGAGGAATGCTTGAAGGTCGAGATTGACATCGATGCGCCATGGAATGAGGGCGCCCGGCTTGAGGTTGAAGATTGGTTGACGTCCAGCCAGAGCAATGAGGATCGTCAGCGGCTGTTTTGCATGGGAAATATTGTGGTCCCCTTGCGGGCAAAAATTGGCTTGGGTGTCATCGCCGACATTCAAGCCAAGACCGCCGAAGTCTAGAAGTTTCCAGACCCATGTTCAATTCAGTGACTTATGCCAGACATGTGGTTTTGAAGTTGAGCATCTTCTTTTGGCCTCCTTCTCAGTCAGTCAGTCAGCTGCACTGCGCGTATGAATATGACATGCACTTGACGATTTTTGATTTTGTCAGTGCCAAAAAAAACGGTCCAAATTCAATAAACAAGGGTTGTTGCAGGTTGCTGTTTTTTTGGGTCCCCACTGCAATATTTTCGCCAGGCAAAGGGAAGTAATTTTAAACTTTCAGGTGAAAGGCGCAGATTCTATGCCAGCGTTGGGACTGCCAACGCCTTGCCCTTAGTTCTAATTGTTCACACAGTCAAGGTTCATGCATTCCCGTTGCTCTCTGAGGCCGCAACCCCTGACCGTCAGCAGTTTGTCTTCTTCATGCCAAGCCGCATTCTCAAATTTTCAGAATGAAATTCGTTTTCTGCAACTTGATTCACTAAATTTCCCAAGTGATCCAATCAGCGCAATGGTTTTAACACGCGCCCCTGAGGCGGCATGGTGCGCGGCAGCTTGTTAGCTTGTTGGTGTGGCCGGGATGTTAGCGCATGCCATGCAGTGCTTTGAGTGTTTGATGCCTTGGCATGTTGACGCAGAATTTACTAATACATAGGCCCCTTGATGCGTCGAAAAGTTCCAGGGTGTATTCTGTTTCTTTCTTGGTTCCTGCCAGTCAGTATTTAGTGCTCCATTCAGCTGATGGCGGGCGACTTTCACAAGCCCATTTGCTTCTGATTCTGAGCCAAGGATGATATTTAATGTTCATTCCGTGTGAACCAAGTTCGGATTGTTTCAGATCGACTATTCGAAGCATTGTGTGTTACGTTTTGAATCCAGAAGCTGCGCGTTGCTAAACTCAAGAGGAGCCCAGACAGGCGAAAGCCGGTTTCGATCACAAAAAGTTTGCATGTGGTTCCAAATCAATGGCAGACATGTGCAGAGATGACCAGGCCTTTTTTTAAATTGATGTTGCGCCGCTTTCCCTATATATAGTTGCTCAAGACCTACCGGGCCTGATATCACCGCGATATCGTTGTCGACGTGCCGGGATGGCGCTCTCAAAGCAGGTCTTTTTCCAGGCCAATCCGAGTGGCACACCAGGATTGCTGAAGATTTGCAGCTTTGACGTTGGCAAAGATGAGTTGCCCGAGAAGTTGAAGCAGATGTCTTGCAAAGATAGCATTGTTTGCCGTTACAGCCTTTTGATGCCTTGCCACCTGGGATGTCTGGGAAAGAATGTGATCTTCATGATGCAGAAGCCAGGCAAAACAACGAAGACAACGAGCCATGGCTAATTTTTCGGTGGATTTGTTCAAGCATGTTCAATTCAAAATTGTTTGATGGAGTGTGGATCTGACTACTGGTTTCAATTTTGTCACTAAGAATTCTCTTCCAAGACATGGCGGCCTTCTATGATGGTAGCTCTGGTGGTCCGGACTTTACTGGCCCAAAGCGTGGCCTTGAGGACTGCGCGGTCTGCGCACAGGACTTCGATGCGATCAGTAACCTCTTCCTGTTCGTGGAATCTGATGCCAAGTGTTTGGATGATGAGCCGCCCTGGTGCCTGAAGACTTTCAGGACTGGAATCACAGCTGACTTGAAGTGGAATGAAGGCATCATTTCTTTTGAGACAGGACTGAAGACGACTGTTCTGAGTACAAGGCGATGCAGGTCTTCGTGTGCTCTCAGAAATTTGCTTTGCTGGCTTACCTCTGTCAATTTGCGACAGTTGCTTGACTTGATTCCTGTTATGGTTTCAAAAGGTTAGTTGTCGAAGTTGAAAAAAGATTTGGCCCATGTTTTCAGTCTGAACGCCGCACTCAGGATTGACCTTTGGGCCTATACTTCCCCCTGCTCAGCCACAACCTGTCAGTCGCTCAGCCCATCAAATCTGAAGTAGGAAGATATCAGTGTCAGGTTTCTGTTTTTCCCTGGTCCAGAAGCTGTTTCCTCGAATTAGTGGCAAGTGCCTTTTGAAATCAGTCCGATTCTTGGAGGTTTTGACTGACTATGGGAAGCTTTGGGGTACCGGTCGGGTTCACTTATTGAAGGGTTGATTGGTACTTGTAAATTCTGTGGCCCAGGCCTGGCCTTTAGCCGAATCTTCGACGTTAGCTGCAGTTTTGACGGTGGCACAGGAAAATGTTTTTTGCATTGCGCTGGGTGCAGCGTCACTGACACATAAACATAACAATGATCAATATTTATTTTCCTATTTGTCAAGATTTCATGTTTCCAAATATATCATCCTTTGTCATGCTTTCAACCTTGGACTTTAACATGATGTTTCTGTATCACGAGTAGATCGATATTGATTAGATCCAAACCTTGGATATATATTTTGGCGGCACGTGTGGCACCCCAAATTCTTTTTTCTTACGTTTTCTTGCGGCTTTAATCTTTACGCGCCCTTGTGCAAACTTAAATGGCAACTGCTGAGTTTACGGTTGGGTTTGCCCCTAGACAACAGACCCCCTCAAGTGTCGAGATTCCTTTGAAAAACCAATGACACATGCAGTTTTTTGGGGGACTTGGGGGGGTCAGATTTCTACGCTTTAGCGGGGCCCTCAAGTGGCAATTGCCAATGATAATGGCACCAATCTTTCCTTTTGGGCTGCAGTGACGACCACTGTCAGGGTTACAAAAGCGCTTTAAATCTGAAGGCAAAAGTGGTCTGGCAATTTTAAGTTTGGAGTGGCCCTCTCAAAAATGTTGAAAACGGATTCCACAAAGTTTTTAAAAAGCGGTGTTTTCAAAATTTGGAAAATTGCGCTTGCCTATGGGAATCCATGCAGGTCTCTGGTGGGGAAAATGACCGCATCATAAGGATCGTTTCTTTGGGTGTCAGTTGGGCCAATGCTGGGCCAATGTTGGGCAATTTGGGTCTAAGTTGGGCCCATGTTGGGTCATTGGCCCATGGAGCCCCACATAGCCCACCAAATGACCCAACATGGGCCCAACTTAGACCCAAATTGCGCAACATTGGCCCAGCATTGGCCCAACTGACACTTATGGGGCCATATTTTCCTTCCAGAGACCTCCTGGAACTCCATGCGCTTGCCAACTTGTTGATTTGTTGCTACGTATTGCGTTAGCTTGCCAATGGTCTATAATAAGGAGGAAAGCGAAGGCAATGAGCGGCTTTCAAACCCTGGTACGTGTTACATGACAATCAATGAATGATACATGTTTGAGGTTTATGCGTGAACGCGAGAGCTGTAAAAACAATGGAAATAATTCCAAAGTTTGGAAAAATAATATTAAAGCAAGTTTTCCAACACCTGCTTCGCGAAACTTTCCACTACTATCCTTTTGGGTTCCGTCTAGTGGGCAGTTTTTGGGCGCAATGCTGGGCCTAGGACAAGATTTCCCTTGAAAGAGATCCTCATAGTGCCAAAAGAGCTTCAAATTGGAGACCTTTTTGACGCGCACCCAGGACCCGTTTCACCCCAAGGGACCATTTCAAAGGAAATTGTATTCTAGGTAGAGCTCTTTAAGATGATTGGGTCCTCCAAAAAAACGCATTTTTGGAACAAAGGTGGGATACGGATACGGTCTGAGTTTTTTGTCTTGGCAAGTTGTTGATTTTTAGAACCATGCTATTGATTGCCTTCATTTTTCTTAATTGTTTGTCTTGACATACCATTTTTGGACGTTTTTTTTGGTCATTTCTATGTTGGGTGGCTTACAGCAAGCACCAAAACCAGTCAATGGCAAACGGCAGTTTTGATATCATGTATGTAGATTTTTCATGCCCAGCGGACATGGTTCGAATTGTCGTTGCGGCCTTCGGCATTTTGCTGGCTTTGGCCATGTCTTTTGATTCGGTGGATTGCTTGACTGAATCTGATGCAGACGACGGTGGCTGCAGTAATAATTTTGTAGTGGCCCGCCGCAGCGAAACTTCGGCGGCTTTTTCTGCTGTAGATGAGCTTTCTAGTGATGAGAAGCCCAATGAAGGTGGGCTACCGTCTTTGTCTTCAAAGAGGGCACCTTCTGCCGGCCTGCCACGGGATGTGAGGCAGAGCAAAAAACAGAAGCGGGAAGCTTCGGCGAACAGAGCCAAGGGCAAGATAGCAACTTAATCGAGTTTGAAGAGCTTGCTGCTGAAGGCATGCAGGCGCTGCAAACGTTCATGCTTGGAAAAGTTCCAGGGCAAACTGAAATTTCAAGAGCTTCTCCAGTTTTGACAAGAGTGGGCGAGCTTGCACAAGACTGACCAGGATATCCTGCTGTTTGACAGCATGCGAGAGATTCTGCAACACGGGGCTGAAGGGGTTCCGACCCAGTGGAAGATTCTCAACACCCCTGTGTGCTTGAGAGCCTTCAAGCGCCTTCATGCTGTTGGAACACTGACATTCAATTCATTACTTTTTTCTCCTTGGCCCGGCGATTTCTTGGGTGAGGGAAACATTCTGCAAGCACGTAGCATTTTTCTGATTCCTTCAAAGCTACAAGTTAAGCGATTTTGATAATTTGCTGAGGAAAATTAGAGCTGGAAGACAGAGATTGAAGCCATTTCCGTTCTTTTGGTGCCCAAAGTGCCCAATGACTTGCCAGCAGTAGTGAGGAACCTTGAGATTCCACAGAATGCGCAATGCCATTGAAGCTGGAAAGCGGCAGCCGCCAGTGGATTTGCGGGGTCTGAAGAGTGAAGCGATATGCAAAGATCAATCTGGTGATAGCGTGCGAGCACGGGTCATCACCTTTCTGGAGCAAGTTTACAACAGTCAAGCCGAGACATTGCCAGACACACGGGACGATGCTGCAGACGAGTCCTTTGGTGTTTTTGTGCGGGATTTTGCTTGGAAAGATGATGCCAAGGACGTTGCAGAGGATCCTTATGCCGATGCCTTGGTGGCCCCAGAGCAGAGTCGTGCTCCCACTCCGAAGTTGAGGCGGCTGAGAAAGTATCTTGTTGATATCATTTCAGGTAAGTTGTTTTTATTTTGGAATCCCTCGAGCCAATTTGGTTTTAAATTGCCATGATGTTTGCATCAAATTCATTGTCGGCGTACGACCATTTTGGGGGCACTTCACGTCCCATGTGGTCATTATCAGAGCTGTGTGCCTTAGCTTGAAAATATCACGTGCTTTCTGAACGATCCTATTAGTGATCCTGGCCCGAAGCGCTGAATGGCATCCAAAATTTGAGATTCATGCCAGGTATTCGTGATTTTCACTCACTGACCTTTAAAGAATTTGGCCAGAAGCAAAGCACTTTAAATTGAATTGAAACTAAAAAACATCCGAATCCTCAGCCATGGTGATCTGAGAAGGCATTGCCGATCTATCAAGATCAACCCTGCGAGACGTGAAGAAGAAGAGCGGTTTCTTCCGCCTGGAACAATGAGAGACATGTGGGAGCAGATGAACGCCAGCGACAAGGAGCAGAACAAAGTGAGCTTCGCGCAGTTCTGGCGAATCTGGAAAGCGGAATATCCGCATCTGAAGTTCAGAGCTTCGAGCTCGCATTCACTGTGTTCCAATATATGCCTCCGACACAAGTTGCTCATTCGAGAGATGGGGCACCATCTGAAAGCTCGAAATGCGCAGCGTGAGCTTTTCAACTTCCATTTGCAAAGACAATATGCTGACCGCTGCGAGTATTGGCGGATAAGGGCTGGATCGAGGATGCGGTCAGGTGAAATATGCCTGATCGTGGATTCCATGGATCAGGCAAAATTTGCTTATCCTAGATCTGATGTCTACAGATTGAAGGAACGCTGCAGAGACCTCGGGCCCACATCACAGGCATCATATGCCATGGCCACTTTGTGCTGTTCAGTGTATCTTCCCAGGACCTCCCAAAAGACTCCACTACAATGATCGAGCTCATCGGGCACGCACTGACTCTATTGCAAGGCCGTGGTGTGAACCTCCGAGCTTCATCTATTGTTTGTGCAGTGTGACAACACACCGCGCGAGCTGAAAAACAATCCTGTCTTCAAGTTTCTGGGAGGTTTAGTTGCAAATGGCATTGTTGCCCAATCAGCATTGTCTTCGCTGAGAACTGGACACAGCCATGAGGATATAGATCAATGCTTTGGCCAACTCGCAAAGTATTTGGCCACGAAAGTCAGGACCGCGACTTCAAAGCTGCGATCGAGCATTGGATGGGCAATTCGCTCCACCGACCTCATGAACCTCAGCGACATTGTGTGTATCTTGATCAATGCCGAAATTGGCTGCTTGGTCATCTTTGAAGTCGATTCTACTTGTTGTTTTGCATCATTCGTCGCATTCCGGCGCTCAATTCTCATTGAGACTGAGTCAGACAGTAAAGTAGGATGATTCGATGCCTGAATCACCGATGTTCTCCTGCCAAATGCATCAATGCTCATTGGGAAGTTCTTGGGTCACTGGACCAGTGAAGATGATCACCCCTGGATTTGATCTTTTGAACTGCATCGCGACATCCTCTTGTCAACCATTAGTTCAATACTTGTGATCAGCGCTGGATTTGATCTTTGATTTTGATTGTATCGTGGCATTCTCCTGCCGCCAGCCAAATTTCAAACATTATAGAGCTCAATGAAATCATTGATTGTGATTGCGTAGTGACATTCTCTTGCCAAACGTGACGTTGTTGCTGTGATTTGCATTGCGCAGTTGCCAGCATGGATGCAATCATCATCAGTTGAAAGCGGCAACATTGAATGGAAATGGGTGTGGTCAAAGCATGGATGACATGTCTCCTTCAGAATGGGTATCTATCTTCTTCAGACCCGACCTAAGGAAAGGATTTCTGGCAGCAGCAGTTCCCATCTTCTTGAAGGGCATCAAAGGGCCAGGAGCGCCACACTTCTTCCAATTCACCCAGCGCCGAGCCTTAGGTGGGCCATCATTGTGGATGGTTTGAAAGGCAGAAAGTGTAAGTTTAAAATTTGGTAAAAGGTTGGAAAGCAAGCAGTCTCGGAGCTCTGAGCTCTGAATTTCCAAGAACTAAACCCTGTCAAGGTGGGGACTTCGAGGTTCAAGACAGCCTCTGGCATTTGGATGCGCATCCGCGGGATGTCGTGTTGAGGATTCGTCAGTGACACACAGTTTGAGAGGATCCGGTAATATTTTAGACATGGCGTTTCTTCACATGAGCACATTTGTTTTGAGATGAACCCGGTTCCCAAGTTCAAGGTGTGACAACAACATTAATTAGCATGTTTGCTTTTTTGCCAGAGAAGTGACATAACAACAGAGCTTTCATGATTCATGTTCATAAACACACAAACGTACATGTTTTTTTGCGCCAGGACCAGATGGCGGATAAGGATTTTCAGACATGCGATTTGTCTCTCCCTCACCAAGTTGCAGAAGCGCGCCTCCCAGTCGGGCTTCCAGCAGGTGCCGTTATCGAAACCAATGTGGTGTTGCGGCAGCCATTTTTCAAATGGATGAAAACTAAAATTGGCATTCACATGCATTTTTCTGACCAGAAACATTGAGATATTTTCCAACTAGGATCAATGCTGTGTGTGGAACGCTGCGCGACTTTTTTGTCCGTCTTTTGATCCCGTGGCAGGGGTTGCAGAGAGAAACCCTTTGGCCGAAAGCTACAAGCAACACCTTTTGAGTTTCTGCCCTGTGATGCGTCAATACAAGTTGTTCCACGCAGCGGACCATTTGGAACAATGGGCGTTGGGCACCCTGGACAGGCAACCGTTGCTGGATGTTTCAGAGTGCTTTGGCCAAATTGCTCATCACATAAAATCATTACCACATGTCATTTGGTAGCATGCCAATTTCAAATTCAAGCTGCTTCCCTGCACACCTGGTCAATTTGTGGAAACAACTTTCAGAGAAGATGCTGTTTGCTTCGGATTTGGATTTAATTCCCGAGTTGGGGATTACTCTGAGGTGCGCGGTTTTGAAACGCAGTGGAAACCGTGGACCTGGGACGATGTTTCCTTGCAGTTTCGAACCACAGCCAAAACGACTTCAGTTCCATGGTTGGTCAAAGATAATTTTTTGGTGTCAGATAAGATTTTATTGGTTTGATGTTTTGGCCCAAGTTCAACAAGAGATTTGGAAAACGGTTTGTTTTTACCCAATGGGTGGCTATTGTTTGATTTGATGTTTTGCTGCTGCCAACAAACACGTTTTAGCCTGCCGGGCCTGCCGTATTCCCATTGATTTCTTCTTTGCCATGCAGGGCATTTGTTTCTGTCGTGTTATTCCCTGTGCAGGTTGGTGCGTGGACCTAGCACTACACAGGATGCCAAAAATTATGTGCAGTCTGCAAAGCGGCGGATTACCTTCAACGCTTCTGCATCCGCTTGCTCTCAGGGTGTGCCATGGAGCGAGGCATTGGCCATTGCTGAACGGGCAATTTCAAAGGCCACTCCCAAAAAGCAAGAACTCAGTGGGGCAGGCGATTCATGTTGGTGATCTTCGATTGGGTGCCGCCGGCACACAAATGTCAAAGGATTTTTCCTAGTAGATCACCAATACATGATGTTGAATGGACCATTGCATAATTTTTCAATGTGAAATCGCAATCTAAGAGATATGACATCGGAGGACCATTCCACCCATTTGCATTCCACATCCAAGTGTCAGAAGAACAGTTTTTTTTACCAGATTCAGCTGCCACACCGAGCCCATCCATATTGAGCACAGGGCCCTCCGTGTTGCCGTTTGAGTGTGAGCTCATGGGCAGTGGATTCAAACATGTTTAGATTCACTTGACGTGCCATATCAAAGGACCATTTCAAAGGACCAGTCTCAACAGTCTTTGAGATCGCTTTCAAACCTCCACACGGTTCATCACTTTTTAAGATTTAATGAAAAAACGTGTACTGCATTTCTTCATTCGGCTGCCCGATTGAGCTCCTCCATCTTGAGCATGGGGGGTCTTTTCCATGGACATTCGTGGTGCTACCACCCATTGCAGAACCATATTTTTGGCAAATTTGGAAGCTGTCGTGCCCATCCTTGGTGGTGAATTCTTTGAAAATGATTGGTGGGTTTTAATAATCTTAATAATATACCCGGGTGCATTCATTATGGCTAAAATCAATCACTGATTATTGACTAATTTCCATCACTTTTGGCGACTTATGGGGTTGATTGGTGGGCCAAATTTGTTCTATTGTTGCCGGATCTTTCCACTGAAGTGGTGAGCCCCCATGATGATCGGAGTGATGGAAAACCAGGAAATCCACCACTTCTTCCACTTTTTGTGTGAGCCATCGCCGGTGACAGATCCGGGGATATCCATCACTTTTCCCGTGCCTTTTCCAGGTTTGAAAATTCAAATTTGGTAGAATTCAAAAATCAGAGGTTCCAGGCATGCTATAAGTGATGAATGAGGGGGTGTATTCATCACTTTGAGCCATTGTGGTCCCCCCCTAAGTGACAAATATGCCCCGGCAGATTTTTGACAAAGTGACGAAAAGAGTTTATATTCATCACTTCTAAAGCCCAGTGCCTTTCCTTGAAAGGAAGTGACGAAAAAATTGAGAGATGTGAGACTAAAGTTTTAAGAAGTGACGAAAAGAGAAAAAAAACATCACTTCTAAAGCCCGCTGCATTTCCTTGAAGAAAAGTGCCGAATTTTAGAGGAAGTGACGAAAAGAGTCTAAATTCATCACTTCTAAAACCCATTGGATTTCCTTGAAGAGAAGTGACGAATATTTTGAGAAGTGACGAATTTTTGATGAAGTGACGAAAAGAGTGATGAAATGCAATGTAATGGGCTTTAGAAGTGATGAATACAGACTCTTTTCGTCACTTCTTCAAAATCGCCACTTCTCTTCAAGGAATAAATGCAGTGCGCTTTAGAAGTGACGAATATTTGAGAGATGTAAGACTAGATTTTAAGAAGTGATGAATAGAGTCTATATTCGTCACTTCTTTTCGGAGAAAGGCGCTGGGTTTTAGAAGTGATGAAAAATGAGAGATGTGAGGCAAGAGTTTTAATCAGAAATGATTAATAAAGTTTATATTCGTCACTTCTTGAACCTCTTAATAGAGAGAACCTCTTTAAGTCCAATGAGTCTGAGTCTAGAGTTTTAGGAAGGATGAAAAGAGTCTATATTTATTACTTCTTAAACCCAATGAGACTAGAGTTTTAAGAAGTGATGAATCGAGTCTAAATTTATCACTTCTAAGGCCCGCTGCATTTCCTTGAAGAGAGGTGATGAAAAACATGATAATTCCAGTTTAGGGCTTAGGGATCGACAAAATCATATGATGAGTTCAGGGCTTAGGTTTCGCAAAAAACCACATGATGAGTTTAGGGTTTAGGGTTCGAAAAAACAACATGATGAGTTTAGGGTTTAGGATTCGAAAAAAAAAACATGATGAGTTTAGGGTTTAGGGTTCGAAAAAAACCACATGACGAGTTTAGGGTTTAGGGGTCGAAAAAACCACATGATGAGTTTAGGGTTTAGGGTTCAGAAAAAACACATGATGAGTTTAGGGTTTACGGTTCGAAAAAACCAGATGATGAGTTTAGGGTTCAGGGTTCGAAAAAAAACGACATGATGAGTTTTGGGTTTAGGCTTCGAAAAAACGACATGATGAGTTTAGGGTTTAGGGTTTGAAAAAACGACATGATGAGTTTAGGGTTTAGGGTTCGAAAAAACTACATGATGAGTTTAGGGTTTAAGGTTCGAAAAACCACAAACCCTAAAACCCAAAGCCCATAAACCCTATAAACCCCAGTCCCAAACCCTAAAAACCTTAAACCCGGGCCGCAAGTAAATAACAAACCATTTTTATGGAAGAAGTTAAAAGTCGAGTCTGGATTTGTCACTTCTCACTGCCCCCTTCCCTCCCTGCCTCATCCCAAACCATCACGAAATTTGATTTTGTTCTTATACCAGAAGGCGGGTGATATAGCATCATTGTGCTGCAACGATGCTATATTCAGTCTGGGGGTTGAGATACAGGAATTGCGTCCGGGCACGGGCCATTGCAAATGCCATTTTTGATTTTGACAATCAGTTTCATCAATTTGTGGCCCAGGCTTCTCTGTGCCCAGCGTGGGCCTTGACAGATTTTTCCCGCAGATTCACAGTTGAATCTCATGACCTCTCGCCACAATGCGAAAGTCGTTTTTCCCACCGCATCACGCCCCAGGCTGTATCGACGTCTTGGAAAGGAATCTACTGCCAGGAGCGCGGTGTCCATCTTGCAAGTTTACCGGGAAAGTCAGGTCTTTTTTGTTTGAAATGTGAGGAAGAATGTTTGCATGCCAGCTTGCTCTTGACTTGTGGGTCAGAGGTTTGGGCTGAATCATTCCTTGCAGCAGCCAGCAGCAAACGATGATCTGTTTTTTTGTTGTCGTGCCTGTGACTGGCTAACACTTGTGAAGCTTAATTCAGTTTTAGCGGGTAAAAGCCGAAATTGCCAGGAGCAGCCTCAGAGCCACGTGCTTCCAGTGGCTGTCAAAAAAGGATGAGTGCCAGATATGGTTAGGCCTCATCCAAAATGTCGCTGGTGGTTCAGCAGTGAAAATCCGACACAGGTGGCGCTCACGGCGTCCAGTTTCTGACTTGATCCGAGCTGGCCCAAGTCGATTGCTTTCTGGCTGTTGCCAAAGTGTCTGTAGTTAGTTATGGAAGGAGAAGCCCTTAAGCACTATGCCGTTCTCCACCTGCTGGCCAAGTGGGTGAAGGATTCACCTAGGCAACCGAAAATGTACGGGAGCTGTGTCGGAAGCTTTGCATCCACCTTGGCGTGTTTTGTGGAGCTCTGCCTTTGAGCACCTTGGGTACAGCATTGACTCGTGCAAAATGTATCGCTGATGGCATGCCTGTGGAGACCATCAACATTCGTGCGGTTGACTGCATGACGCCGTCTACCCACCGACAAGGCATCCACTGGATGGTGATCTGGTTGAGCTTGGAGGAGTTGAAGCTGATTGAGCGTGAGTGCTCTTTGGGGTCCGAAACTCTTTCAACTTTCTTGTGGTCGAATGCTTTGGATGGTATCAGTGACAAGGATGTTTCGGTTGAGGCTTACTCAGCCATGGCTGATGCACTGCATATGTTCAAAGATGTGCAGATGGCAGCGCGTTTAAAGGTTGAGAACGCCACCTTGCGCAATGAAGATGGCCCTGGAGCCAACTGAGAGCCAAGTTCAAGACAAAAGGTCTATTTTTTGAAGTTTAATGCGGCTGCAACAAGGGCAGCTTTGGGATCCGTCAATGCTTTTGACTGGGGCAACCTAAGCAGCAGCATGTTCCAAGTGGGAAAAATTGCACCACCATCAAAGAGCAGTGCTTGCCAAATCCCATTGGCATTGGTCTTCTTCACATTCCAAGTTCCAGCAAAGTCATTTCTTTGTTGTCTATATCCATGATCATCATGGGTGCTACGCAGGATTTTTGGCTGAAGAGGCGTGATTGGCACAGCAATGATCAAAAAGAGAAAATCGTCAGGCAGCAGCACGCCGGGTGGCAGTGGGCAGAAGTGCTAGAAGCCTGCGCCCTCGGCCGACTTGCCACATGTGAATCGGATCGTGACATGGTGCCAGACTTAGCCCAATGATTTTTAGCACTGACACTAATCATTCTTTTGATCACGGCCGAGGTTTCAAGATGCAGTGGTACCAGCCGGAGGTCCTGACAAGTATCTTGTGCGGAAGTATTCAACCCAGGCGCAATGCCCCGAAAACAGTTCAGAAGTCAAGGCAGTTGAGTCTGGATTGCAGGGGGAGAAGCTCGGGTTCGCTCCGTGGATAGAAGATTCCTTTCCTGGTGACTATGCCAAGTGCGGGTCTCAGTTTCGTCAACATTTCAGCACATTTTGATGGCCCTTGTTTGCAGGCACCACTACTGCAAGGAGCTCACCCAGGGACCGCATTGCGTGCGGCCTTGGAACCTCAGTTTCAGGCTTGATTATCAATAATTTGTTCTTGGCAGCGGCTGATTTAGATCATGGAATGGTCATGTTCTTGACAATCATGGATTTGACAGCCGTGTCAGAAGCGACTATATGGCGTCGCCGGGTACTGTGAACCCGAAGAGACCGAATACCTCATGGGCTGATCCTCACAGAGGGGTTTCGAACCAACAGCGAGATGCTCGCTGGAGTGGCACGTCTTGCTGTGATGGTGCCAGGCAGTGCTTTCCTAGAGACGCCTGCGGATGAACCGCTGGAGTTCCCGGGGCTGGGCCCCGCCCTTATTCTTTGGACTTTTGGCGCGATTTGCAAGTCAATGAGTCAACCAACATTTTCATTTTGCAATTTTTCTTGTTTCAGACGAAAGTCTTGCCCGTTGTCAGGTGGTGTCTTGCCAGCGTGGAGTGTGGGGTATTGCACAGGATGGCGACGCAGCGTGACACTGCTGATTTGCTTGGAAGGTGTTCGCACTTTGAGCATTCCATTGGAAGATCTCACGCATGAGTTCAAGGCGGGCCAGCTGCGCTAACACTGTGAACCGGATTATGTAGATTTAGTTTTGGTTTTAATGCCAATGTTCAGCCCATTGTTTCTGGCCCACGACTTTTGACACTGATTTGTTTTACGTGTAGTAGGATTCTCATAAAACTGACTTGACTAAACCATTACGTGCAGTAGGGTTCTCATGAAATTGACTCGACTAACCCGAAACCATTACGTAGTAGGATTTCAATAAAATTGACCTGGCTAGACCGGCACTGCATGCCAATCCGTTTGTTTCAGTGTCTGTCAGGAGTCACTGGTGGCGATCTATGTAACTGCAGGTGTTTACACCAATGTGAGAGATGTTGTATTCACCAACAGAGGTGGGGCCGCTCATGACCTTGTTGGTCCTGGATTCTTTGGTTGACCCATCAGTAGCCCATTAATCTTAGAGGGTTTAGCCAATGATGCTTGTCAAACTTCTTGTCAGGCATAACATTGGGAAGCACAAAGACGCGTCGTCCTCCCAATGCGTTTAACTTCTTGAGGCAGCTTGAGATTTTGCAGAAGGGGGGCTTTGATGGTGGCTCTTTCTCCGAAACTTGTCATCCTAAATGATTTGTTGATTGTTTTCAGCATCGGGCCATCACATAGTAGTTTTTTTGCAGCGATACCCTCTGGTAAATTAACATAAACCCTGACAAATAGGGTTGGAAGACTAGTTTCCATTAAAAATTGGTGATTTTCAGGGTCTATGTTAATTTACCAGGGGGTAAGCCTGACTGAGGTGGGCGCTGGAGAGCGGTTAGTCCAATGGTTGTTACTTATCATGGCCGGGCCAGTGTCTGCAGGAGTGGGACAACCGCACCAAGATCCAGAAGGCATTCCAGATTGGACCGAAAGAGGCGGGAGCAGTCTCCAACTTGCAAGACAAGATTTCAAAGACAGTGGTTGCTCAACTCCGTGAAGACATCCGGTCAAGGGGCATGAACAAGTGGATCAGCCATGATGTCTTGGCCCGCGATGTGTTTAACTGTGGATTTTCGAGTGGCCATGGGATCTTTGAGTCGTGGGCTGAACATTGCACAAATGCAGCTGATGACCGGCTGGTTTCTTGGCTGCAGCCATTTTTCAACCCGCTTTTGTGCACACACCATTACACACCCTAGATTTGGGCAGCTCCTTTTCACCTCAGGTGCTACTGTTCCTTGAACGCCTGAGGGTTGATTGGGACAAGCAGAACAATCGCTCATGCTGGACAGTGAAGGATGCTCTGACTTTGCATGCCGTGTCGGGGGCCTTCCTCTTCCTGCGGGACTCCCTCCACGCCAAAGTCCCACAGGCCGATTTCAAGAATTGCATTGATGACATTGATGAGCAGTTTCGCAAGGGTTTTCTGGATGCAGAGCTGCACCAGCTATTGTCCACATCTGTGCCTCCCACCACTTTGAATGATGTCTCCTTCATGCGAAGACTTGCAATGCACTTTAATGTCGTCGGGCTGGGGCAATTTATATAGTAATTATTCTGATTTCCCAAGCCAATTTTTTCAGCGCCTCACTTTTCCCGGCCAGTCGCCCCGACTGGGGCCAGGAATGTGGCGGCAGCTGTGGAATTGCGGGCGCAGAAGCAGATCGACGAGCAAAATGCCCAACTTGCTCAGAAGGTCGAGGCTGCAAAGTTGGAACAATTGGAGGTGCAGTTTTCCCAAGACCTAGAGGTGCTGAAAAAGAGGCTCCCGACTCCAGAGTCGGAGGCGGTCGAAGCTGCAAAAGATCAATTGTTTCCGCGTGAGAGACAGAGGACGGATTGTTCATTCTTATTAGCAGTAGCATTTTTCAATTTGACAGGTTTAGTTTTGGCCGTCCCTGAAAATTGAGTTTATTTCAGGTAACACTTACACATCCTAAAGCATAAACTAGATTTTCAAGCCTTGGGCAACTTTCAGTCAGTCACCGGCCCTTTGTTTTTTAGCCCGACACCTTAATTAATATAGCGGCCCAACTACCCTGAACCGTAAACCCTAAAATGGAAATTGTTCTCCACGTCATAGCTAATTGATTTTAATATTTTGATTCAATTGTTGCTCATGCGCTTGATGCGCCTTGCTTCAGGTTTCCAATAGCAGAATCGTCACCTTTTCTTTCAAAAACTCACCTGGAAATAGAGAATGCCTGCAAAATCCTAGGCCTGCACCTGTCACAAGACAATGAAAGCCGTCCACCCTTCGAGTGGCAGGATTTGAAACATTAGCACCCACCTACACAGGCATCTGGCAACCAAGTGTTGCCGCAACATGATCTACGAAAGACAATGAAAGCTGTCCACCCTTCGAGCGGCAGGATTTGAAACATTAGCACCCAAAAGAGACGGGAAGCGAAGCAGGGAGGGGGAAGCATGGCTTTGACCCCCTTGCAATCCCAATTGAGCACTTCAGCCGATGATGCGGCAGGATCAAGAAAATGAATCAGCTGCGCGGCCCATCATCCTGCACTATCCCTGGTTTCAGTAGGATAGGAAATGTTAGGACCGCTCTGGACAACAATCACTGTTTCATTGTTGCTCATGCGCTTGATGCGCCTTGCTTCAGGTTTCCAACAGCAGAATCGTCGCCTTTTCTTTCAAAAACTCACCTGGAATAGAGAATGCCTGCAAAATCCTAGGCTTGCACCTGTCACAAGACAATGAAAGCCGTCCACCCTTCGAGTGGCAGGATTTGAAACATTAGCACCCACCTACACAGGCGTTTGGCAACCAAGCGTTGCCGCAACATGATCTACGAAAGACATGTTAAAAGCTTCCCTGCTTGATGTGAATTCGAAAACAGAAAAGAGCACAATGCAGAAAAGCATCTCACGGTGGGCTCAGACCGTGTCAACCCTCGCCACTAAAAACAGAACCCAGCCTAGCCAGCAGCTGGTTGAAATTAAAGTCGGCAGGAAGGACCGCATTTCACGCAGTTCCCGGTATTTAATGGTAGAGCGAAGGTGAGTCAAAGAAAATGAATTGAAAGAGAACAAAACAAAATCACAATTTGGGACCCCATTTTTGCAGCAAAACGTTGTGGTTCTCCACTAGCTTGCTCACTTTCTGTAAAAAACAAGGTGTCATCCTGGAACGTTTAGACCTTTCCGAGATCTGTTTCGTACACGCCTCACAATCCCACGGGAAGGTGCATCCGCAGGGTTGTCTTCTGACGGGATGTAAACAAATCTGAGAAGAGAATTTGTCGCCATCAGCAAATTGCCAATCTTTCGCAACACGCCTCTGATTCCAGGAGCCGAACTGCGGCCTTTGCTGGCAGCACCCAGAATGGCTTTGGCATCTATGAGTACTACCACTCGACGGTGAAAGCGCACTGCTGATCGCAATGCCCACTTCAAAGCTATATGCAAACCATGGGCTTCCAGAAGCCCTGCATGAGCCTTCCACCTTGCCTTTGCTGAGATTGCGGTGTGAAACTGCCACTTGTGAAAAGGTAATTCGTGTGGTGTCCCCAACCGGTCTTTGCGACAAGGCTCATCGGGCTCTTGGAAAAAACGAACAAAATCACCACGTCTCTCCGACAGTGAACTCACGCTGCGCACGAGCTGCTGGGAACATGGCATGTAGCTCACACCAAAACCATGTGTTCCTGCAGCATCACAGGCAATGAGCTGCGGCAAAAAATCGCGCCCAAGATCTGCTCCGAGAAGCGGCGCAAAAGCAGCTGCAACCAAAATCTCAGACTGTACATCTTCTGGCAAAAACTGTATACTTTCTGGTGGCTCGCGCCTTACGAAATCGCACACAGCACTGAAAACACTGAACATTGGCCGGTTGAGCAAGCAAAACCACTGTTCTACTCCCAGCGCACGGTTGAGGCCAGAAGGTGAAACCTGTCCTTGCAGAAAAAGATCCAACAGAGCAGCAAACAAGCGCACCAGTTTGGACGATGCAGGTTCAGCTGCTGGCGGTTGAGTTGTCAATTCGCATCCTAAAGCTGTCATGGCTGGTTGCAGCGTGACATCTTTCGCTTGGTTCTTTGGCATGCCTCTCTCTTCAAAAACTTTGTCTAGCCGGCGGAGCCGTTCAGCGCCAGCTTGCTTGTCTTTGTGGAAGAAGAAAGTGTCATCAGTGGCAACGCCGCAGGCTTCCACGCCTGAGGGCGGCGGAGAATCTAAGCTCATGAATGCATCTTCTGCAACACCAGCCTCAAGCCAACAGGAAACTGTACACGCTTGTGCCACGCAAGAACTCCAGCTGAAACCCATGGGCCACACAATACTTGTGGGAAACAAAGGTGTAAACCGAGACAAATTGTGTGTCTCGTTGTCACCTACCACAAAATCAACAAAATTGTCAATGGGAAATTGGCAAACTCGACTCAGCTCATGCAAAGAAACAGGAGGGCGCCCAAACCATTCCTGCAAATGTTCTGGAGCCTGCAAAACATCAAAGCAGGTGTGCACGTCCCTCTTGGATATGTACACGTTTTCCCCGCCATGAAAACACAAGTCAACAAAACAACTCGGGTTTGCTAGCTTCCAAGGTGCAGGCGGCCGACCTGAGAGCCGTTCCAAACCTCCCGCTGCTTTCCGGGAGTTGACTTTGCCACGCAAAACACATCTCCCACTGCACGGCACTGTCTCCGCAGCCGGATCTTGCCACATTGCAGCTGCCGGTGAACAAGCTTGATATATTCATCTCGGTTGGCACCTTCAGGACCTGCCGGGGCACATGCCAAAAAACCAGATGGGAATATCTGCTCAGGGTCCATGATGCAGCGAGCAAGGTCAGGAGGCAACAGCTGGCTGGTATCACAAGTGCCCGCCGTCTGTGGTAGATCGACGCAGTCAGCACTCATGGCCGGGTACTTACCGTACTGTTTCTTCCAAAGTCATTGAAGCAACCAACCCAAAAACAACTTCCACCCATGGACTTCAAGTGGTTCAGGAAAAGGTCACATCTGCGAGCCAAGTGTTCGTGGACTGCTTTCTGAATCTTAGTCGGACGTTTTTCAACCCACTTGTAAAAGATCTCTTTGGCGCGGGCAAGATCCCTCCGGATCCCGCCCTGTTTTGTTCATCCATGCATGGTAAAAAGCAACAAAACGATGTTGATGTTTGCCCAAAACAGTCGCAAGTACGTCCTGAAATAACTCAACGCCGTCCGCGTATGGCTCGGTTCGAACGGCGCGACTAGCTATCCGGCGCCTGTGCGCCCAGCATCGAGCAAAATCCCGTCTTTACTTAGACGAAGAAATACGCCGATACTTTTGTGTAAGTTGTATGTGGCAAGCAGTCGTGGCGGAAAAACCTGGGACTCCAAAATTATCAAAACCACAGAACTCAAACCAGCACACCGCCAGACAAGCAGGGAAGCGTGGCTTTGACCCCCCTGCAATCCCAATTGAGCACTTCAGCCGATGATGTGGCAGGATCAAGAAAATGAATTAGCTGTGCGGCCCATTATCCTGCACTATCCCTGAATTTAGTAGGACAGGAAATGTTAGGAGCGTTTTGGACAACAATCACTGTTTTATATAATTAAATGAATTTAATAGTTATTAACCAACGCGCCCTAAATCACAAACCCAATTACTTTATAGAATCCGACTACCCTTAACCCTAAACCCTAATAAATCGTAAAATGTTGAACCTTAAACCCTAAAATTGCATTTTTTGAAATTTAGGGAATGTACTGACATCGGAGTAAAATATGCTGGAGCAGGTATTTACGGTCTTGAATAAAATATTTATCGCATAGGAGTAATTAATTTATTAATTGTTTTTTTTACCCAGGGAACATGTTTTTTACCTAGGGATTCTCAGGTAACTACTGTGTGGTATTGACATATATTATACTTGGTGAAAGCCCTAAGTTGTCTCAGGCAGCACTTTGTTGTCTCATCTCGGTGTGCCATGCGAAAGATGTGACACAACCATTGGAATGGAGTTGTCATTTGGTATGATCTTTACAGCACAACGCATAGGCACACAAGGATTCTTAACATTGCAAACATTAGATATATCCATTTGCCTCTCTAACAATCCCTGGGTTACTTTTATTGAGTTTAGCGGTGCCTTTTGGCTTTTGGTGGAATGGTATATTGTTACAAAATGAGGTTTAGACAAGCTCAATTCAATCTGCAAAGATCAGCAGATGCGCGAATGATTGGGCACTTTGGCCCAAGATTGCTTTGATTGGTGTTTCAATGACAATGGAACCCCCCCGCAAGAAGCGATCTCGCAATGATGGGGTAAGCCCTTTCTTGTCAGATAGCACTTTGTTGTCTCATCTCGGTGTGCCATGCGGAAGAAGTGACACAACCACTGGAATGAATTACTACATGATTTGTTAATTGGTATGATCTTTACAGCACAACGCATAGGCACGCAGGGATTCTTAACATGGCAAACATTAGTTGTATCAAGTTGTATCAAGCACAATCCCTGGAGCAACGTGAGTTTCCCACACAGTGTGTACACACTCGGGGGTCTTGTGATCGGTCCTCCTCCTCCTCCTTTTCCTCCTCCTCCTCCTGCTCCTCCTCCTCCTCCTCCTCAGTATCATCATCTTCCTGCTCCTCCACATTATCATTCTCAGCATCATCCTCGTCCTCCCCCTTGACATCATCATCCTCAACATCGTCATCCTTCACCTCATTTTCTGCAACATCCTCCTCCTCCACCTCCTCTTCCGCAATATTAATTACAATCCTTTCCATCCTCCTCCTCAACATGATCATCCTCAACATCATTATCTTCCTCCTTCTTAACATCGTTATCCTCTACCTCATCATCCTCCACATCATCATCCTCCACCTCATCTTCCGCAAGATTATCCTCCTCTACCTCATCTTCCGGACCTTATTGCTTGGATTTTTCGGACCTATCCACATCGTTTTTACCATTTACAGTTTTTGATCTGACGTGGGAATACGTGGGGTGGGTTCTGGCTGGGATGGCAAAATGTAATTCCGGTACCTCGTCCGGTATCTCGTCCGGTACCTCGTCTAAAAACCTTTCCAGAGTCATGATTCTGGTATTACATCCATATTCCATATGTCTCGGATTCCGTTACAGCAGGGCAGGGTGTGATTTCAATGTGATTAATGCAAAACTTTGTTTGTGAAAGTCATCCACTCGCCTGCAAGTGTGCCATTGGGGTTTTGGCCCTCATGAGAATGGAAACCCTTTATTCTGTTTCTTATGGGCATACCAGAAGGCAAGCTGGTGATGCTGTTTTAATGCTTGGCTAAGCTTTTGACCTGGAATTGCTGTTGGCGGTGTGCCCTTGAGATTTGACTCCAAGTTGACAGGTCGTACCTTCCCATATTCTGATTCCGGGCATAGCTAAATGCGACTAGGGACATGATTCAAAGTTTGCAACGACTTCGTGAAAGTCTTCCACTCTCCTGCAAGTGTGCCATTGGGATTTTATTTTTTTTGAGAATGGACACCCTTTATTTTGTTTTTTGGGAAATACCAGAACGTAAGCTGGCGGTGC